TGAAAACGGGGCGAAAACAAGGTGATAATACCACGGGCGATGCACACGCACCACCCCATGAGTTACGGTTACCTCGTCGTCGCAGCGGAGGGGGTACCAATAGATTTATTTGACCAGTTCGACATTCCGAGTGCTCCCGTCATTTTCCGAGGCTCGGCGACCGAAGACGACGTGGCCAAGCGTTTTGTCCGCGACGTCCTCGATGTGACCGCCAAGAATGGCAGATTGTATAAGGAAGTTAAACGTGGCGATTTTCTATGAGTGTTGCGGGGTACCGCGTGCACGACGCCAAGGTGATGTGCGACTTGTGCAGCTGCACGTTTAGCGAACGCAATTGTAAAACTGCACACCACGACCACTTGTCGGGACGTTTTTTAAAAACGTTATGTAACACGTGCAACCTTAAGTTGAAAACACCAAAATTCGTCCCGTGCTTCCTGCATAATCTCTCGAACTACGACGCACATTTCATCGTAACGAATTTAGCGAACGACGACAATAATCGAATATCGGTAATCGCTAACACTGAGGAGAAGTATATTTCATTTTCGAATATTTAACAACTCGTTCTCCGTCAGGTTTGTAGACACACGTGTCGGTTTCATGGCGTCGAGCTTGGCAGGCTTGGCGGAGAACCTCTCCTCCGCGAACTTTGATAAGTTTCGCGAAGTCGCGAAAGTGTTCGCCCCGTCGGAGATGCAGTTGGTCACGCGGAAAGGCTCTTAATCGTTGAATATACAGATTTTCGTGGGGATTAAATTGGACGCTACGTCGCTGCCGGATAAGTTCCAATTCTACAGTGCGTTGACGGAGACGCACGTGAGCGACGAGGATTAATAGTCGGCGGAAAGGGTCCTGGCATTCATTTCGGCTGGCAAACTCACTCCGGGACTTTATAGCGATTTATACCTTTTAAAGTTGACGTGTTGTAAGTTGCCCCGGACGTGTTTCGAGAATTTTCAGGGATATTATGTATGACCACATATCACCTCGACCCCCGCAACAATACTACACGCTACCCGGTTTCAGCTGTGACTGTATGCGTGAAACTAACGAAGTTGAGCTTTTTCTTTTGAACGATTTTGAGAAAATTTTATTCCTAGAGTCAGGCGTGAGAGGTGGCCTAGTTGCAGGCCAGAGTAAACGTCACGCGCGCGTCAACAATCCAGAAACGCCTGGATACAATGCTGAAGAACCTAACACGTCGCTCATATACCTAGATGGTGATTATCAAAATATAAATTATATACTTGTTTGTATTATTAACTAATTTTCCTCCTTCTAGCAAACAATTTGTACGGGTACGCGATGTGCAAATATATGCCGATTAGCGATTTCACGTGGTATCCGGGAAATCCCGAAGTCGCCCTCGACCAGCTACAGTGGATGCGCGAGACTGATGACATTGGTAGATTTTACGAAGTCGACATTTCGTATCCTCAACATCTACACGACGCCCACAATGATATGCCGTTCTTGCCTCACGCTAGCATACCACGCGGGTCCACCGTGCGAAAGTTGATGGTCACATTTATGCGGAAAGAACGATACGTCGTTCATTATATGAATTTAAAGCAGGCCATGGCCCACGGCGTTGTAGTTAGAAAAAGTGATTATAATATATTATTATTTTATGTATACGGTTCTTATAACTTTTTTCGTACATTTCAGACGCACCGAGTATTGGAATTCCGACAATCCCCATGGATGGCACCGTACATAAACCTCAACACCGAATTACGCAAGCGGGCAACCAACATATTCGAAGAAAAGTTTTTCAAAGATTTAAACAATTCGGTGTTCGGTATGATATTTATAAATTAAAAAAATTATATTTTTTTCAAAAACTTTTTCAAAAACTTTTTCTGAGCTTTATTCCGCTTAAGTTTTACTTCATGATAACTGTGTGTACGCAGGGAAAACTATTGAGAATATGAGACTTAGATTCAACTTAGAGCTTGTATCGTGCCCGCGCAGAATGCGGAAACTCATAAATCGACCGACGTTCAAATACTGTACGACGTATAATGAAAATCTCTCGGTGGTCACCCAACATGGTAAAGAAGTGGATTTCTGTAAGCCTATCTACATAGGATTCTCCGTGCTAGAACTCAGCAAAGTTGTAATGTACGGTTTTCATTATGACGTCATGAAACGTCATTACGGCGATAAGATCGAGCTGCTTTATACCGATACCGGTACGTCTATATAAAACTCGTGCATGGCTATGCAGTTTTTATAATTATTATTATTACATGTTTCAGATTCACTATTCTACCGCGTGACGACAAACGATTTCCACACCGATCTTATTGAAAATCCAAATCTGATGCGGTTTATGGACACCTCGAATTTTCCACACGACCACAAGTGTTATACGGTTGCTCGGAAGCGTATTCCAGGATTTTTTAAATTCGAGTGTAGCTCCAGGACGGTCTACGAATTCGTTGCTTTGCGGGCTAAATCCTATGCCTATGACGTGGAACAGAACGTCGAAATTCGCGCGAAGGGTGTTATGAGGCACGTGATTCGTAATCACCTCACTTTCGCCGAGCATAAGCGGTGCTTATTCGCTGACGTGGACGACGATGCAGAATCCGACGAGTGCGACGACGAATTCGACGCAAATATGGGGAAAATGATCGCTGCCGATTCCGCACTTAAAGCTGTCGCTCAAATTCATCGGAACGCCTCAACCGGCTCAACCAACTCGTCGACGACGGTTGCGGCGGCGGCGGCGGTCACGCATCCATCCCACGTCTACAGCTACATGCCATTCACGCCGTATAGGGAAAATGTGTCTATACGCTCGTTTAAGCACGAGTTACGCACAATTAGATCTATGAAACTCGTCTTGAACAGGGCAGACGACAAGCGTTACGTGTTACCGGACACATTCGACGTAACGCACACGGTCATCACCGCATAAATTATTAAATTGTTATTATTGTTATTATTATTATTGTTATTGTTATTATTGTTCAACGATCTCATATCTGTATATATATATATATATATATATATTTATAATCTATTAAAATATCTGTATAAATTGTATAATCGTGAAATGTGTCTGCTGCATACTTATAGAACCTGATAAAATATATGTATATGTATAATGTATAATCGTGAAATACAACCGTTGCATATAAAAATATGAGAGTGTACGATGCTAAAATATTATATTAACTACGTTTTGTATTTAATCTCGTGTTTTTAAATTATTATTTTAGTATCGCAACCTAATCTTCTCATCCTTATCATATTTTACCTCATCTTTATCTTCTTATCCTTATCTAATCGAATACTCACCCTTATCTTACCGAGGTCTCGTCAACATTATTATTATTATTTTTAAAAAACCCCCGCCCATTCGCGCTGTGATAAGAAGCGGACGAGGATATTTGATATGCCTACATACGGTGTTCTGATGGCTAGCACTTCTCCGGCAGTCAGTCAGTCAGTCTTTGGAGTTAAACATTTACTCGCGTGTAATAACGATATCTTAATATGTCGTCAGAGGAGTGCTCGTTTTTCGAATATGGGCTCAAGTCTCGATGCGCGGTAAGTTTTATAATTTTGTACCACTCTACTTAAATTAAAATTTATTTTATTTAATTTTTAGTCACCTGATTTATTCGCGGAATCGTACGATCCGCGCGATTACAAGTTACGAGTAGTCGAAGTCGAAAAACCCTCCGTCAATTATTCACTCGGGTTTCATGCAGGACAGAGATTTCCGTGGAAATCACCAGACTCGAGCTCGCCGTTACCTATGCTACACCTGATATCTGGACAATTCCCCGACAGCGGAGAAATATTAAGTGAGTCTTAATATATATATATATATTATATATATACTAGAATATATATAAATAAATTTGCTACTTTTAGTATTTTTTAAAAAATAAAAACTAATTCGCGCGTCATATTTTCAGACGATGCACAGTCTCTTCATATGAGCGGCTTTCATTTGTGGGATGACAGTCCCCCTAAAGAAACTCTTCATTGGAAAAAAATACTGTTGTTGAAATTTGACACGGATATGTATATTTATAATCCTATAATGTATTTTAAATAAAATTTTATTATATACTACATTTTTGTTTCTGAATTTATTTTTTTTTTTTACCGTAGAATGCAAATTATTATTATTATACATGAGTATAAAAATATTGACTATTAAATAATAAAACCTTATAAATATGAAATATTTCAACATCTCATATTTGTGAGAATAAACCTTATAATAATTATTTAATAATATATTTTTTAAAACCAATACTTCAAAATTTAATGATGAAATGTAATATAGATAATTGTGTAAAATAAAATATTATTATTATTTAGAACATTGAAGTCTAGTTTTTTTTTTTTTTTTTCAAATCTAAATAGTAGATTTTTACCGTAGAATACAAATTATTATTATTATTATTATTATGTCGTAAAGACATCAAGTATAATATATTATTATTTAGAATACTGAAGTCTATTTATTTATTTATTTATTTATTTTTTTATTTTTTTTTCAAATCTAAATAGTAGATTTTTACCGTAGAATGCAAATTATTATTATTATACATGAGTATAAAAATATTGACTATTAAATAATAAAACCTTATAAATATAAAATATTTCACCATCTCATATTTGTGAGAATAAACCTTATAATAATTATTTAATAATATATTTTTTAAAACCAATACTCATCTCGGACAAAATAATTATATAATTTGTTAAATGTATATAATTATATTATACGTTCCTTAAAATTAAAGGATCTAGATAAAATGAGAATAACGACGTATTTTTAATTTTTTTTTTATTAAAATATTTTAACAGTCAATAATTGTTAATAATTATTATAATGTTAATAGGAGAGTCATAATAGATTTCTTTCAAAACCTATCACGAAACTCCTATTCTTCATCCCCCTAAAAACTAGGCTTAACCTCACCCCTTCGCCCTGGTTATAACTTTCGCATGCTTCAGCGGTCATCATAATCGCCTTCGGAAGGAACACGTTCAACGTCCCTCCGGTCGAGTTGTCGTGTAGTACGCAAGACACCGCAAGACCAAATTTGGTATCTATATTTTTCATGAAGTTGACCGGATACAGCACGTCCTTTTTTAGATCGCCGATTGAAATATTTTCGTTACAGCACTGCGCGTTCAATGCCTCCAACAAAATCGTATTCGTATCCATATTAAACTGAGGACAGAAAAAAAAAAAAATGTTAGAAAAAAGTAAATTATTTAAA